CTCTTTCTGGTGAAGTCAGTACATGTAGTTCTTGCCTCAAGAATTATTAATTGTATTTACATGTACTGTATGTGTATGAATCATTCTGTACTGCACACTATTAAGGCTTTTCTACACTTGAACCAGTTCCAGAAGTTAGCTCATCAATGCACTTTGAATGCGCATCAAGCGATTCCACACTATCATCAGGATCATGTATATTTTGATAGCATTTCTGATCCAGCTGCCATTGGTTATCTATTGAATGCGCATTCAAACCACATATGGAGGTGGTTTGGCTTAATGCGCATTGAAGTCAATGCACATCAGGTGTGGAATGACTGGAACCGGTTCCAAACCAGTTCAATGCGCATTCCAAACCAGTTCAATGCGCATTAGAAGTGCTAGTGTAGAAAGGTCTTTAGTTTACTTATACCATTTTTTGTAATTCACAAAAGTATTAAGTGACTGTATAAAATTATTAATTTATCATAAGATTTGATGGCTACTAGCCTATTACAATTCAATATTCTAATAAATTTTTATATTCTGTAGTTTTGACTCCTGCTTGTTCTCTTGTATCAGCTGGCCCTGCTGTTACAGCCTGGATAGGCTGAGTGTTCTTTTGTTGGTCCTGCTATTGTTCACTCGTGTGCCCTTATTATTCTCTCGTGGGTCCTTCTCACTATTTTATTCATTGGTGGGTCCTGCTTACTATTGTTCACTCGTGGGCCCTTCTCACTATTATTCTCTCGTGGACCCTTCTCACTATATTGTTCACTCGTGGGTCCTTCTCACTGTTATTCACTCGTGGGCCCTTCTCACTATATTGTTCTCTCGTGGACCCTTCTCACTATTATTCTCTCGTGGACCCTTCTCACTATATTGTTCACTCGTGGGTCCTTAATTCTCACTGTTATTCTCTCGTGGGCCCTTCTCTTATTCTCTCGTGGACCCTTCTCACTATATTGTTCACTCGTGGGTCCTTCTCACTATATTGTTCACTCGTGGGCCCTTCTCACTATATTGTTCACTCGTGGGCCCTTCTCACTATATTGTTCACTCGTGGGTCCTTCTCACTATATTGTTCACTCGTGGGCCCTTCTCGCTATATTGTTCACTTGTGGGTCCTTCTCACTGTTATTTTCTCGTGGGCCCTTCTCTTATTATTCTCTCGTGGGTCCTTCTCATTATATTGTTCACTTGTGGGTCCTTCTCACTGTTATTCTCTCGTGGGCCCTTCTCACTATATTGTTCACTCGTGGGCCCTTCTCACAATTATTCTCTCGTGGGCCCTTCTCTTATTATTCTCTCGTTGGTCCTTCTCACTATATTATTCACTCGTGGGTCCTTCTCACTGTTATTCTCTCGTGGGCCCTTCTCTTATTATTCTCTCGTGGGCCCTTCTCACTATATTGTTCACTCGTGGGCCCTTCTCACTGTTATTCTCTCGTGGGCCCTTCTCTTATTATTCTCTCGTGGGTCCTTCTCGCTATATTGTTCACTTGTGGGTCCTTCTCACTGTTATTCTCTCGTGGGTCCTGCTTAGTGTTGTTCACTTGTGGGCCCTTTCACTATTGTTTTCTTGTGGATCCTGTTATTAGTCTCTCGTGGGTACTGCTCAGTATATTAGACAGTTCTCTGGATCCTAGCTGCTATTTTTTTCTCACCTGAATTAAAGCACATAGTCAGTATTAATTAATAAATTTAATTCATCTCCTCTTATGATCCTCTTTTCTCTCTTTTTTGTCTGACAAACCATTACTAACAATTTATGTACATTTTTAGTTTTACTTGATCCTGACTCTATATGCAAGTGTTTATCTTTTGTCTTGTTGCTCTAGC